AGACTGTAATGAAGTTTATATAACAGTTTGAGAACAAAATGAAGTATACAATTATTAATTTTTTTCCTCTTTTTTATTATTATTATTAATTACACTTTATTCATTTTGTATCCCCCCCATAAGCCCCTCCCTCCTCCCCTCCCGATCCCACCCTACCTCCCCTTTCTGCATGCATGCTCCTCCCCACATCCACGGGACTATTCATGGAGATAACCTAGAACCCCTGCACAGATGTAGCCCATGGCAGTTTAGTGTACAATTATTAATTTAATTATTGGTTCAATAAGAATTTTAGAAAATATTTCAGATTCAGGGCCCAGATTATGGCCTTTATCCTTTGGGGATGGACATGTAGGTGGAACCCTGCCTCATTGGGTGTGCATTCTATGGAGTGGCATAGGCAACAAACAAGTGAACGTGAAAATAAGTATTAGGTCATCTGATGATAAATGATGGTGTGGAATGAATACAAAAACAAGAGGAGTTAGATAGCTTAGCCCCAGGGCTCTAAATATGAGACAAAGAAGAATTCCCTATAAAGGGCCAATTAAACATGACCTACACACAACAAAGGTACCCAAAATGGTGCTGGGGAGAAACATAAGTGTGAACTCCCCAAGAGCAAGGTGGACTCCATACTCGTTGTGGTGGGCCTCACATAAAGGGTAGGGTGGATCCCATGGAAGGGTGGACCACACTTGATGGTGAAAAGGACACCACATGAGGCGTGTGGTGGACTGTGTATGGGGGTGTGGTAGACCACACTTGACTGTGGAGTATACCACACATGAAGATGGACAAGACCACACACAAGGGGTGTGATGGACTGTATAGGTTGAATGCATTGGATGGATGGAGTGGACCCCACACAGGTTTGGTGTGGCCAGATGGGAATGTGAAAGAGGAGGAGTAGGTCAGAGGCCACATGACAGATTGCCATGTGCCTTAGAGAAGAATACAAGGACATTGTTTTTCACTTATGCAAATTAAATGAGACTTGACTATAGGCTTCTGTGAGCAGCATAGTTTGATCTGAGGTACACGCTTAAATGATTCCCTTGTCTGCCGAATGCATCATATGTTTAGACAAGCAGAGAGGCAGTACTAACAGAAGCAGATTTTAATAATGTCAGCAGGACAGGGTGCTATGCTGATAGCAGAGAGGGAGGTACCTTGAGGATGAATTTTTTATCTTAATGATATAATTTGACTTAACAAAAGTGAACTCAAATCAGTCTGGTAGACAATGCTAAATCTACAAGAATAAATAAAACATTGTTCATCTTCAAAATACCTTATACCTAGTAGTATCACGATGTTCTAAGAAAAGACTAAAACAAATCTAGCAAAAGATGGAGAGCTACTTTATGGAATTCCTTGGACAGCAAAAGGATGTGGCTTATTAGTTGGATCTGCAGAGCATGGCAGTTTTCTCTAGGCTGAGTGTAAAAGTCAGACAATTCTACTGTGAGAAAATATTCAGAACAAGGCCTTGTGAGCCGTAAATGTGACCTCAGCTCATTTCTTGTGGCCTTGCTAGGCAGCAGAGTATAGCCTGGGTGCAGTTCAGGGCTTATGCAGACATTTAGAGGTTGACACAGGATCCTGGAGTTACTTTCCCTAGGGTCTCCTTGATCTCTACTGCTTGTTTGTGACAGGCAGGATTCCAGGATGGTCCATAAGACCCTCACCTGCTGTACATGTATGCATAACCTCTTTCCAGAGGAGTGGACAGAATGTGTAGAAATGAGACGATGTTATATCTATGATTCTCTTCTGTCATACGCTAGAGGATGGTTGTCCTGTGGAAGGTTGTCCCCTCAGGTGCAGAGATTATTTCTTGCTGGTCACAGAGGGCTCAGTCAGGCACAGGAGCCCATGCTGGCCAGGAGAAAACCTAGCATCCATCTTGTGAGCTACCCATGACAGGCAGCTGTGGGCATCCTCTGAAAGTTTAGGGCCAATCTGGAGCAGTATTTGTTATGAATGCAAGGACATGAGCCATGGAAGCACAGGGAGATGCAGCCTACCTAATATGGGTGATGTTGGATGTGACCCGTGAGCTTTAAATAAGAGTGTCGGGCCATGCAGCACCTTGATATCAGTATGATGAGACTCAGAGGAAAGGACAAAACTAACCTGTGCTAGGTTTATGACCCATAGAGACAACAGGGTAAAAACAACAACCAAAACATACAGCCCCAGAGACTCCTAAATATGGAATCATTGGTTACATGGCAATACGTATTGCGTTACAGTGGCTCTGAATTCTGACCTCTGGTTACTCAAACAAACCGCAGGAAGTTGAATTCCTGTGGTGCATTTGGGATATCTAGCCTCAGAATAAATGCAATTACTTACAGAAGAACGAAGGTATAAGGCATCCTTTGCGTCATTTCTCCCTGCCAAGTGACTGCCTTGTGGATCTACAGGGTTTGTTCATGCTGCAGTATCTTCTTTACATTTTTCCAATGTTTGTAGTATTTATCTTTAGGCAAGTTTCTCTAACATGAGCTACTTGATAATGAAGTTTGTGGATAAACTTTGTAGGGAAATTTTTATAATTTCACAGTACACAGTAAAGAAGGAAAGCAAAGGTCATTCTGTGGCTGAGGGTCTCAGGAAGTAAACATTGTCATTAACTGAAAAGAGAAAGATTTAAGGCACTCGACTACCCATGTGAGTTCACAGCTTGGGAGATGTGATCTAGAAAGCTGGCAGTCCTTCTCTTCAAATGAGGGGCTGAGTTGATTCGTCAGCAAACTGACTCAAAATAGAATAGTCCTGGGACAATTACAAATTCGAAGAAGAGGAGAAGAACCAAGGGACCAAAGCCTGAGACAACGATATCTTCAAACTGAAAAGATGCATTTTGGGGACAAAAGTATGTGTGTAATGTTGTGACAAGTATGATGAACAGTGAAACCTAACACTGAGTTTAGCAAAGGGGAGGCATTTGTTCTCCACTCAAGAATGATTTTAGGAAGGTGTTGGAAGAGAAAGCATGATTGGAGTGAAGGAATGGGGCTGTTTAAGGACAGAAAATTAGACATTTCTTAGGGCATCTTGTAAGTAAAAGTGAGTAGAGAGATGAAGTGGGTCCTTGAAAGAGACTCCATATACTAGTTTTATTTTGTTGTTTAGTTTTAAATTGGAAAACACATTGTACATCTGTAGGCTGGTAGTGATGAACAGTATGGGCAGGCACTGTCAGGTAAAACAAATAGTGGGGAGAATTGCTGGCAGAGCATAAAATAACAGAGCTAACTGCAGGTAAGTGTAGGCAAGTCCATCTATCCTTGGAAATAAAAAAAGGTTGGAGGCTCCGTGTGGGTAGAAAGATGCCATCCTGGGAGCTGGAGAATTGGGAAGAGTTTACAAGATGAGACATAACTTAAGCTAGAAATAAGTAAGAGGCTGTTTGGCAGTGCAAGAGGTCAGCTGGGGTTAAAGTGTCATAATTTTAAGTTAATAAGGTTTGCATCTTTTGGAGAAGAAGTCAAAGACAAGAAAGAATAAGAAAGTTGGGGCTTTCCAAAAAAAAAAAAAAGTGACTGTGATGAACTATAAGACAATGAAATAGTAAAGTGAGAATGATAAACATGTGGGAAATGCCACATTAGGTGGATGGCATGGTGCCTGAGGACCAATTTGAAAGTGTCTCAATAAAAAGGTTTTGTGTTTATTGGTATGATGGCTTTGGAGAAGCAGAAGTCCAAGAGTGCTGGAATTAAAATTCCACAAATGAGGCACACAGATGAGATGTAGCATGGAGGAGGGTGGAGGACAGGGAAGGACCCATAGGCCTTTTTATGGGACTCAGGCAGGACCCAAGGATGAGTGACAATGTAAATGGAGAAGGCACTCTCTGGGGAAGTAGAGTCAAAGGGCCTGCAGGCCAGCATACTGGGGACTTCCTGCATGTATAGCAAGGGTACAGAGAGTATAGAGCTCGACTGCAAGTCAGTCATTGAGACTCCAAAGAAAGGAGATTGTGTGGAAGGCAAGAAAATATGGTGCATTAAAGTGAGAAATCCTTAGACACAGCAGCAAGGAAGACACAGCTGTCCACCCACCAGCTCGAGTAGCACCACGGCGCTATGCAGTGTGCCTCCCACTAGTGCGGGCACTGGAGCAACAACAGTGTCCCCGGGGAGGAATAGATAGAGACAGAGAAATTGTTCTGCTAAGATTCTAAATTAGCTGGCTGCTGAGCCTGCACGTTCAATTGGCCGCTCCCCCTCCTGGCAGTGAAATTCTCATAAAGGGAGAAGTGGTAGGGTGCACAGTCCTTACTATCGGACACAGGAAAACATATTATTTCTCTAAAAGAGACCAACATTTTCCAAGATTTCAATTTTTTTCCTGTGGGTCCTCATTCGCTTTTATATCCCTTGTGGCTTGAACAAGGCTTGAAATATAAAAAGAACACAATAACCACTTAACAAAACTTATATGACATTGAAGTTCATGATAACCAATATCTTCTATGGCAATTTTTGAAGCTAAAATTTTAAACCCAAAAGTAGGTCATGGTTGTGCAGTTCCTAGCTTGGTCTTGGTTGTAGATCTGAGATGTCATTCCATAAATGAAGCTAATTACAAAGAAAGAGCTAGGAATTCTTTGCCTGGAGACGTGGGCAACACATTGTAAGGCGTTGAGAGAGTTAATAGTTTGCAGCATTGGAGTTTATTCTTTCATTTTGAAGAAATCCTGCCATTTAAAAACATGCAAAGCTAATTAAAGATTTTCCACTATTTCATTATCTGAATGTAGCTCCAAATTCTGAGTTAAAACTCTTATCACAGAAAGACTCAACATCCCTCCATGAACAGTAAATGAACATTCAATTAGCCCTTCAATACAAGTGCATTTTAAATAAAAATATACTTTATTGCTAATCTCATTCTTTACAAATGCAAATACTCAATTTTCAAACTCGATGAGTTTCCTTTCTTTTATACTTAAGGGAGAAAAATAGTCTTTTCTTGTTTTACAGGGGAGGCCTGAGTTCTCCGAAGTTGTGAGGAAGCTGGAGGATTCTCTGTGCAACGTTGAGGTAAAAGTTTGACCTTCTGTAGTGTTGGTTAAAGTCAGAACAGCCCAGGCATCCCAGTTAAACATACAAATAAAAGGAAAGCTATTCAGAGTGGTTCATTGGGAAGAGGAAAAGTCCAGTGACACTCCTTATCCTCACTGCTCTCCTGCTCCCGAACATGAAGTTCAGGCTTAATCACAGAACAAGAATTATTTATTCCTGACAAGTCTGGGGCAAGACACCATCCCAACCGCCACCAGAGTCTAAGCTCCAGTCTGCTGCAAGGCAGAATTGTCAGAATTGTCTTGAAATCTGTTTCCTCCTTTGATGATCTAAGATCCCCTTTGGCTGGTCCCAGGCTTCAGAATTTTCCTTCTCCTGGCATTTTTGAGGAAATGCCAATTTCTTGGGGGTACATTTCCTCAACGGTATGGTAGACAGTATGTTCATCCCTGAAAGGAAGTTCACAAAGGCTGTCAGAGGACACAAGGGAGGTGGTGCTTAAAGAGGGCAACTGAGTGTATAGCCCATTGGTGTGGATACCACTAATGAAGCCCTTAGCAAGAGCAGACTCTGCCACTTCTCCAGGGGCAGAGGCAAATTCATATCAAATTTTGGTGGAGCCAGAAATTATCAGGCCAGAGAATGGCAACAGTCATGCTGGTCTTAAAATTTTGATAGAATGGAGGCTGGGGCTGGAGAGATGACTGAGTAGCTAGCAGTGCTCATTGCTCTGTCTGAGACCTAGTATTGAGATCCCAGCACCTTCATCAAGCACCTCCCAACTTTCTGTAACTACAGCTACAAAGTATCCAACAAATTCCTGACCTCTTTGGGTAGGGGCACACGCACACACACACACACACTCATACACATACTATGAGAGCAGTTAAATAAAGAAAAGAAATTTCCCCTATCATTGGACTGGGGGAGGGGCATAGGAGAAGAAGAGGGAAAGAGGGTGGGATTAGGAGGGGATGAGGGTGGAGGCTACAGCTGAGATACAAAGTGGATAAACTAATTAATAAAAATAAAATAAAAACTTAGAAAAGAAAACAAATCTTCACAAATTTTAAGTATAACAAGCATAACAGAAGGTAAATATTTAATGATTTTTTCTACAAATTTGTACACAGGTGATGAGCCAGCTAAAATGCTATTACGCTGTCCATTTGTGTTCGACACAGAAGGAAGACACTATCTTAAACCATGCATAAATCCGCTGGAAGGCAATACCTATACAGGACACAGAGTGATAGATGCTTATAATCAAGCTAATGAAAAATATCCCTTAATATCAAGGAAATATTTGCTTTAATTTTCTCTATAATTGCTTTAATTTGCTATGTACCTTGTCATGAAATAGCATTTAAAAATAGGCAAAGGAGCTAAAACAGGAGTACCCATTCAAAAAATAGATTTCAAATGTGCAGGAAGAGGTAAGGACCATACACAAGATTGTGGTCCATGTGCACTCAGAGGACAGGGCAGAAGCAATAAGACAGCATCTACATGAGCCTTCACAGCAAAAGCAGAATGAGAATTCCACAGGAAACAAACATTTCCTTCTTTAAAACAGATCCTAGCTCAGGTCCCTGGAACACGGACTATTGGGAAATACTTCCAGGCTGGCTGGCACAAGTCATTCTCTCTCATTCCTCATGAAAACTTCTGGAAAAGGAGAGGAAGCCTTTCATTGATAGGAAAGCGTCCTTCCATCTGATGTAAACCCTCCCTTCACTTCCTTTGGTAAAAAAATTTATACATATGGGAAGAGTAGCTACTCATGTTGGTGAGACTTCAGGACTGAGTACTGACAAGGGCGTCTTTTATAGGACTTGGCTGTTGTAAGACACCTTCAGGGCCTGAGCTTCAAGTGTTCTCTTATGTGAATCTTGGGGTTTACCAGGCAAGGTTGTTCCAGTCCTGAGATTATAGCTCACTTGATAGGAATAGGATTTACACCATGTGAGGCTAGTGTTATGGCAACTTGATACACAAACTAGAGTTATAAGGAAAAAGGAATCTTAATTGAGAAAATGCCTCCATAGGATCCAGCTGTAAGGTTTATTCTTAATTAGTAATTGATGGGGGGAGGGCTCAGCCCCTTCTGGGTAGTTCCATCCCTGGAATGGTGTCTTGAGTTCTATAAGAAAACTGGTTGAGTAAGCCATGGGGAACAAGCCAGTAAGAATCCTCCCTCCATGGCCTCTGTATCAGCTCCTGCCTCCAGGTTTCTGCCCTGTTTGAGTTCCTGTCCTGACTTCCTTTGATAATAAATAGCAATGTGGGAGTGTAGTCCAAATAAACTCTTTCCGACTTGCTTTTTGATCATGGTATTTCATTGCAGCAAAAGAAACCCTAACTATGACAAGTTGGTACCAGAAGTGGGGTAATGCTGTGTCAGATCTGACCATGTTTCGGGAAGGATTGTGGAAGTACTTTGAAACGCAAGGATAGAAAAGCTATTAAGTGCTGAGAGTTCAGTGAGCCACTATTTCGAGCCTCAGAAGATAGTGAGTGAATCCCAGATAACTGGATAATGAGTTATTTATATTGTTTGAGTTTGATTTTGTTTGGTCATATTGTGTCTATGCTCTGGTTCTTCACTCATGAAGAAGATATTTAATTTAATCTTAATTTTTGCAGGAGCCCACCATTGAAAGACTTGAATGTTTAAAACAGATTTTGGAGTTTCAGAAAGATTGGATATTTTAAAGAGACTGAAATGTCAATGTCTGAATTTGTAAAGACTATAGGACTTTTAAAGTTATTTATATTTTTAGTGTGAGATATTGGGGATGAATAAGAAAGGAAATATATCGCTTAATACTGATGTGTTTGACAAGGTTGACAAGGCTGTGCTGGCTCATTTTATATCAACTTGACACACAAACTAGAGTCATCTGAAAAGAGAAAACCTAAATTAAGAAAATGCATTTTTTTAACTAGTGACTGCTGGAGGATGGTCCAGCCCATTGTGGGTGGTGCCATCTCTGGGCTGGTAATCATGAGTTCTATAAGAGAACAGGCTAAACAAAACTGGACTAACACAGCAGGAAGCAGCACCCGTCTATGGCCTGTGCATCAGCTCCTGCCTCCAGGTTTCTGCCCTGTTTGAGTTTCTGTCCTGACCCCCTTCCATGATCAACAGCAATGTGGAAGTGTAAACCAAATAAACCTTTTCCTCTTCAAGTTGCTTTTTGGTCATGGTGTTTCGCTGCAGCAATAAAAACCATGAATAAGATATCCCAGGAACAGGGACAGCAGATGGAAAGGTCTGGCAAAACAAGCTTGTTTTTTTCACATCAATCAGGCCTTCTAGGACTCCCCCTAGGAAGAAAGATGAAGCCCTGTATGCAAAGAGAGCTTACTGGACAGGTTACACTAATTAACAAGCCAGGCTTGTGAGATCTCATATGGCTCTCTCCTCCCTGCTATCCAGTTTTAAGTCAGACTGACACCGAGGTCAAGGTGGAACTGCTGGTCACATTGGTGAATGTGACACTGTTGAGAGGGTCAGCAAACATTTGAAGGCAAGAATCTAGACTATCTTGGAAAATGAAATAATAGCATATGTCTACCAAGAATAAATTTGAAAGGAGAAAGATAGTGTTCTACCCAAGGCCATAGAAACAATAGTAAAAGGATGAACTGGAGACGTGGCCTCAAGGTCACTTTGTTAGAGCTATAATAAGCTTAGATGCAGCTACAGCATGAGGAGGCCCTCCTGTTGCAGAACAAAGGTCTGACTATCCCTGCTCTGATGTGACCAAACCAAAAAGGACCCAATTGAACTCTCAGTCATTAAAAGAATAATAAAAAGATCACTTGCATTGTAGTGGAGAGCTATCAGAATGTTGAATACATTGAAATTCTATATTATAAAAAGCATTTGGAGGAACCAGAGACTTTTACCAAAAGAATAATCGCTGTTTTCAAACATCCAAAGAACCACCAGTTAGCAAAGATATTGGTTTTGTTCTTCTTAGAAAAATCATTTATCAGATATAAAATCATGCTTTATCTTACAAAATGGATGTATTCTTACAAAAAGCGTGTATGATGGTTACTGTTTTCAGCTTAACAAGATCTAAAGTCATCTGGAAAATGGATGTCTGAGTGGGTGTGTGGGCCATTGTCTTGAGTATCTTGATTAAGTTAATTGATATAGACAACTCATTCCACCTGTGAGTGAAACCATTTCCTAAACAGAGATCCTACACTGTCTAAAGTGGGGAGAGTGAGCTGGGGAGAGTGCAGTACACCGTTTTCTGACTGTAGATGTGGTCTCAGAGCTGCTTCAAGCTCATGCTGCCCCAAGTTCCCCACAGGGATAGACTATATTTTGAACCATGAGCTAAAACAAAACCTTTCTCCCTTAAGTTGCTTTTGTCAAAGCATTTTATAGCAGCAATAAAAAGAAACTAAGACAGTGTGTAAATTTGTTTTTATGTCAGGTGGAAAAATTTAGCTACAGTTGAAAGGAGTTCTGCCATGAATGAATCATATCACCATAGTGAGGATTGTGGCATATCCTTTGTTCATCGAATAATCATCATCTTAGTAAGATTGTGTAACGGTAACTTGGGCTTACTATGCTTTGAGGAAGATAGGAATAAGAATAACACCAGCTATCAGAATAGGAATGGGTCAAAAAGTAGATTAAGCTGAGCAGGTACCACCACTGGAGGTTGGAAGGAAGAGCAAAAGTGAGTGTAGAAGAATGAAACTAAGCTGCAAGTCCTCACATAGAAAACTGTAGTACAGTTGCCTGTTGGAGTAACTTAGTACACAAGGCCTCTCATGCCTTCCCCTTCAGTTCATGTCTCCAGCATCAAGTAACAGCAGTGATTCTCTGTCACCTTCCTCTTCCTCCGATTGCCTGGTAAGCCGGGGAGGGCCTGTCCAGAGCCTTGTGGCCGCTTTATCAAGCCTTTTGAATTGGAATATGCCCTAAATGCAAGGTCCTATACTGCGTGGTTCCAAAGGTAAGTGGTAATGTCAACAAGAATCTTTTTTTTCATTCATTCATTTATTTATTTATTTATCTATCTATCTATCTATTTATTTATTTATTTATTTATTTATTTAATTTTTTATTAATTATACTTTATTCATTTTGTATCCCCCCCATAAGCCCCTCCCTCCTCACCTCCCGATCCCACCCTCCCTCCCCTTTCTGCATGCATGTCACTCCCAAAGTCCACTGATAGGGGAGGTTCTCCTCTCCTTTCTGATCTTGGTCTATCAGTTCTCATCAAAATTGACTGCATTGTCCTCTACCGTGGCCTGGTAAGGCTGCTCCCCCCTCAGGGGGAGGTGATCAAAGAGCAGGCCAATCAGATTATGTCAGAGGCAGTCCCTCTTCCCATTACTATGTAACCCACTTGGACACTGAACTGCCATGGGCTACATCTGTGCAGGAGTTCTAGGTTATCTCCACGAATAGTCCTTGGTTGGAGTATGAGTCTCTGGGAAGTTCCCTGTGTTCAAATTATCTTGTTCTGTTGCTCTGCTTGTGGAGTTCCCGTCCCCTCCAGGTTTTACTATTTCCCACTTCTTACATAAAATTCCATTCACTCTGCCCATCAGTTGGCCATCAGGCTCAGCATCTGCTTTGACAGTCTATACTGCAGAGGCTTTCAGAGGCCCTCTGTGGCAGGTTTCAAGGTTGTTTCCTGTTTTCTTCTGGCTTTCAGAGGCCCTCTGTAGCAGGTTCCAAGGTTGTTTCCTATTTTCTTTTTCTTCTGATGTCCATCCTCTTTGCCTTTCAGGATGGGGATTGAACATTTTAGTTAGGGTCCTCTCTTTTGCTTAGTTTGTTTAGATGTACAGATTTTAGTGGGTTTATTCTATGTTGTATGTTTATATGAGTGAGTATATACCATGCGTGTCTTTTTGCTTCTCGGACAACTCACTCAGGATGATCCTTTCCAGGTCCAACCATTTACCTGCAAATTTCATGATTTCCTTATTTTTCATTGCTGAGTAATACTCCATTGTATAGATGTACCACAGTTTCTGCATCCATTATTCAGTTGAGGGGCATCTGGGTTGTTTCCAGCTTCTGGCTATTACAAATAAAGCTGCTATAAACATGGTAGAGCAAATGTCCTTTTTGTGTACTTGAGCCTCTTTTGGGTATATGCCTAGGAGTGGTATGGCTGGATCTTGAGGAAGCACTATTCCTAGTTGTCTGAGAAAGCGCCAGATTGATTTCCAGAGTGGTTGTACAAGTTTACATTCCCACCAGCAGTGGAGGAGGGTTCCCCTTTCTCCACAACCTCTCCAGCATGTGTTGTCCCTTGAGTTTTTCATCTTGGCCATTCTGATGGGTATAAGGTGAAATCTCAGGGTTGTTTTGATTTACATTTCCCTAATGGCTAATGAGGTTGAGCATTTCTTTAAGTGCTTCTCTGCCATTCGATATTCCTCTACAGAGAATTCTCTCTTTAGCTCTGTTCCCCATTTTTTAAGTGGATTACTTGGTTTGTTGCTTTTCAGCTTGTTTAGTTCTTTATATATATTGGATATGAGTCCTCTGTCAGATAAAGGGTTGGTGATGATTCTTTCCCAATCTGTAGGCAGTCGCTTTGTTTTGATGATGGTGTCCTTTGCTTTACAGAAGCTTTTCAGTTTCATGAGGTCCCATTTATTGATTGTTGCTCTTAGAGCCTGTGCTGTTGGTGTTCTGTTCAGGAAGTTTTCTCCTGTACCAATGAGTTCTAGGGTATTCCCCACTTTTTTTTCTAGCCACTTTAATGTGTCTGGTTTTATGTTGAGGTCTTTGATCCACTTGGACTTCAGTTTTGTGCAGGGCGATAATTATGGATCTATTTTCATTTTTCTACGTGTAGACATCCAGTTGGACCAGCACCATTTGTTGAAGATGCTATCTTTTTTCCATTGTATGGTTTTGGCATCTTTGTCAAAAATCAGGTAGCCCATGGCAGTTCAGTGTCCAAGTGGGTTACATAGTAATGGGAAGAGGGACTGCCTCTGACATAATCTGATTGGCCTGCTCGTTGATCACCTCCCCCTGAGGGGGGAGCACCCTTACCAGGACACGGTAGAGGACAATGCAGCCACTTTTGATGAGAACTGATAGACTAAGATCAGAAAGGAGAGGAGAACCTCCCCTATCAGTGGACTTGGGGAGTGGCATGCATGCAGAAAGGGGAGGGAGGGTGGGGATCGGGAGGGGAGGAGGGAGGGGCTTATGGGGGGATACAAAATGAATAAAGTGTAATTAATAAAAAATTTAAAAAAATCAGGTGTCCGTAGTGTGTGGGTTTATTTCTGGGTCTTCTGTTCAATTCCATTGATCCACCATTCTGTTTCTATGCCAGTACCATGCAGTTTTTATAACTGTTGCTCTATAGTACAGCTTGAGATCAGGGATGGAGATACCTCCAGAAGATCTTTTATTGTAGAGAATTGTTTTAGCAAGTCTCGGTTTCTTGTTATTCCATAAAAAGTTGAGAATTTTTCTTTCCAGGTCTGTAAAGAATTGTGTTGGCAATTTGATGGGAATTGCATTAAATCTGTAGATTGCTTTTGGTAAGATGGCCATTTTTACTATGTTAATCCTGCCAAGCCATGAGCATGGGAGATCTTTCCATCTTCTCATATCTTCCTCTAATTCTTTCTTCAGAGACTTGAAATTTTTTTCATACAAGTCTTTGACTTGCTTGGTTAGGGTTACACCAAGGTACTTTATGTCATTTGTGGCTATTGTGAATGGTGTTGTTTCTCTAATTTCTTTCTCAGCCCTTGTGTCTTTTTTTATACAGGAGTGCTACTGATTTTTTGAGTTAATTTTGTATCCGGCCACTTTGCTGAAGGTGTTTATCAGCTGTAGGAGTTCCCTGGTAGAGTTTTTGGGGTCACTCATGTATACTATCATATCATCTGCAAATAGTGATAATTTGACTTCTTCCTTTCCCATCTGTATCCCCTTGATCTCCTTCAACTGTCTTATTGCTCTAGCAAGGACTTCCAGTACTATGTTGAAGAGATATGGAGAGAGTGGGCAGCCTTGTCTTGTCCCTGATTTGAGTGAGATTGCTTTAAGTTTCTCTCTGTTTAGTTTGATGTTGGCTATAGGCTTGGTGTATATTGCTTTTAGCCTGTTTAGGTATGTGCCTTGTATCCCTGATCTCTCCAAGACTTTAAACATGAATGGGTGTTGAATTTTGTCAAATGCTTTTTCAGCATCTAAGGAGATAATCATGTGGGTTTTTTTTCTTTCAGTTTGTTAATATGGTGGATCACATTGATGGATTTCCGTATATTGAACCACCCCTGCATACCTGGGATGAAGCCTACTTGGTCATAGTGGATAATATCTTTGATGTGTTCTTGGATTCGGTTTGCAAGTATTTTGTTAAGTATTTTTGCATCAATGTTCATAAGGGAGATATGAAAAGACAAAACCTAAGAATAATAGGAATAGAGGAAAAAGAAGACTCCCTTCTCCAAGGCCCAGAAAATATTTTCAACAAAATCATTGAAGAAAATTTCCCCAAGTTAAAGGAGAAGCCATTAAGGATACATGAGGCCTACGGAACACCCAACAAATTTGACCAGAAAAGAAAATCCTCCCGCCACATAATAATCAAAACAGTAAGTATACAGAACAAAGAAAAAATACTAAAAGATGCAAGGGAAAAAGGCCAAGTAACATATAACGGCAAACCCATTAGAATCACACCTGACTTTTCAACAGAAACTATGAAAGCCAGAAGGGTCTGGACAGATATCATGCAGACCCTAAGAGAACACTGATGTCAGCCAAGGCTACTATACCCCACAAAACTCTCAGTCCTCATAGACGGAGAAAACAAGATATTCAATGACAAAAACAAATTTCAACAATACCTACACACAAATCCAGCATTACAAAAGACACTGGAAGGGAAAATACAACCCAAGAAAATTAGCTTCTGTCAAGAAAACACAGGAAATAATTAACCTTACTACAGTAAAACAAAAGCAACCAAGCACACAACCTAATGAACACAGCCAACATCAAAATCAAAGGATCTAACAGCCACTGGTCATTAATCTCTCTCAACATCAATGGACTCAACTCTCCAGTAAAAAGACACAGATTAACAGAATGGATACGTAAACAAAACCCAGCAATCTGTTGCATACAAGAAACACACCTAAGGCACAAAGATAGACATTACTTGAGGGTAAAAGGTTGGAAGACGACTTCCCATGCAAATGGACCCAAGAAACAAGCAGGAGTAGCCATTCTAATATCTGATAAAATAGACTTTCAACCAAAATTAATAAAAAGAGATGAGGAAGGACACTTCATACTCATCAAGGGAAAATTCCACCAGGAAGACATCACAATCCTGAACATCTATGCCCCAAATACAAGAGCACCCACATTTGTAAAAGAAACATTGATAAAATTTAAACCACATATACATCCCCACACATTAATAGTGGGAGACTTCAACACCCCACTCTCAACAAAGGACAGGTCAACAAAACAGAAATTAAACAAAGAAACAATATCGCTGACAGAGGTCATGAATCAAATGGACCTCACAGACATTTACAGAACTTTACACCCAAACACGAAAGAATTTACCTTCTTCTCAGCACCTCATGGAACCTTCTCCAAAATAGACCATATAGTTGGTCACAAAGCAAGCCTCAACAGATACAAGAAGACTGAAATAATCCCTTGTATCCTGTCTGATCACCACGGAATAAAGCTGGACTTCAACAACAGAAATAGCAAAAAGCCTACACACACATGGAAACTAAGCAACTTGTTACTAAATGACAGCTGGGTCAGGGAAGAAATAAAGAAAGAAATTAAAGCCTTTCTAGAACTCAATGAAAATGAAGACACAACATACCCAAACTTGTGGGACACAATGAAAGCAGTGCTAAGAGGAAAGTTCATAGCACTAAGTGCCTTCAAGAAGAAATTCGAGACAGCTCATTCAAGCAACTTAATGGC